TGGTAAAATAAATGTTGTAAATTCAAATCAGAGCGTCTTGCGTGTCTGGGATGGATGTATTCTTGAGTCTATAAGGTAACAATAATATAATAAGATAACCTTGTTTGAAATGGGTTTGGCTAAAAGAAAATTTTGGTTTCGTCTATACTACTAGATACTTATACTATATTGACTGGGTTAAATAGAATTTTCATTGACTAAAACTAGACTAAATGTCATCAGTTTTCGTCACTAAAACTAGAAGAAAATAGTAATGGATAATTCTGACTAAAATAAGACTAAAATGCTCAGACTTTTACTTGACTAAAACTTGACTAGACTAAAAAGAGTATGAACGTGACTAAAACTAATAAAAACTAAAATGACAGCTTCACACAAAGACTAGACTAAAATTAAAACAGGTTGCCAAAAACAACACTATTAGGAATCATTGGTTAAGATTTATTTACAACAGAACAGCACAACCCAGATGTTCGAATTTGTGCGACGCATTTTATGGACGACAGTTTTTTGAACCTAGAAGAGTACAAGGCTGGCTGTACACAAAGGCTATTTCTAAAAAAAAAAAAAAAAGGGTCAATTCTGACTTTGCTATGACAATCTGGCGCTTCTGAATCAGCTATGTTGTAAAGCAGCGATTTTGCATTGCCTTTGCTTTGGTATATAATAGCACTTGTTGGATATGTGCTGGTCAGATGAAGAACAGGATGAAGTCCAGGTAGAGTGAGGATGAAGTTTAGACGAAGTCTGAGCATTAAAGCATATTTTTAAATGCATGCAATTATGAGGGAACAGGACAATTAATGTATAAAGGATTCAATCAAACAGCTTAAAACGAGGCTGTGTGTTTTCCCACTGTTCACAATTGTGACCACCTATGCTGACATCTCATGTGATCATGATCTTTTAAGTAATCAAGTACCAATAATATACCTTTTAGCTTTAAATCTGTAATCAGTATTTTGATGATGATGAAATGATGAAACTGGAAATAAATGGCTGTTTTGTTGTAATAATGATACATTATTATGTTTATTAGTAATAATGTTTTGGATGTAATAATGTTAATGAATTCAAGATTTTCACTTTTTCAGTTTCATATAATAGACAATTCTGTGTAAAATATAACCAGTTTAGACCCTTCAACCTTCAATCTAAAACTTTGTCATGACAGAATGTCAACCTCTGGGATTAAATAACATGCACACAAAAATAAATAAATAAATATATAAAATAAAAATAATCACATAATGAAATATCTCTGCACTTTGAACCAAAGATGACATGATAATATATCAATTTAAACAACAAATAAAATTTCTATGATTAATAGGGCTGGGTTTTGATACACATTTCACGATTCTATTCTATTCTCATTCACAAGCTTGCGATTCGATTCGATTCGATTCAATATGGATTATTTTGGATACATATCAGGTACAGTACATGCCAAATTTTCTCAAGGAAAAAAAATCTCTCAACTAATGCTGTAAAATATACATGAGAGTCAGTCGGTACTACAATACTATAATACTGAAGTTTAAAATTGACTGATTTGTTAAAATTACTCTTAATGAAGTTTTTAAAATAATAAAGTTACAATTACATAATAATATTTCTACTTTAATTCGTTTTTTTATTTTTATATAAACGGTGGCTGTCATACAACATAAATTAAACATTGAAAAACAGACAATTTTATAATGAATATGTTATATGGTGCATATATTTAGCAAAATGCCCCTCTGTACAGTTTATTTTTCTATCTGACTAATGAATTTATGGTCACAGAATATGTTTTTCTGAGGTAAATGTGACATTAAGTGACATTGTCTACAAGACGTTATAGGCCTATTGATGTCTTTGCGCGGAAGAAACACTGATTGAGTGATTACATGAGACAGAATACGGATTGTTGTACTCTTTCTTTTAACTTACCTTCGGATGTTTAGTCA